CTTTTGTCTCGTCATTTTGCTCCAGCCGGCGAGTGCTGGGCCCAAAGCTTTGCTTTCACACGCCCGCCACGGTCGCCACGCCCCCGCAGCCTCCTCCGTCCTCCCACTGACTGGGGGAGAGAAGGTGGCCCTGGCCGCCTCAGGGCTGCTGGGCCATCGGCCGTGGCAGCAGCTGCCTCCCTGGTCCATCCGTGAGGCCGGGCCGGCCGGCTGCCTCTCAGGCCAGCTCATTGCTCTCGGCTTGGGGTGGAGCGGGTCCCCTAAGAGGGCGGGTGGAGGGAGGGGGCATGGGCCACGTCCCTGCCGAGCACGAAGACCCGTCACCGAAGGGAAGGGCTCGCCTTAGGCTGGAGGCCGCCACCTCCATGCGGTCTGCCTCGTCAGTCCAGTCCCGAGGGAAGTCGGTCTAAGGCCACAAGGTGAAAGGTCAGGAGGTAGAAGTTGGGCCCACACCGTGGCCACCCTCGGTCTCCCCAGGGGGTGAGGGAAGACGGTGGGCAGGAAGCAGACTGCGGACACTGCGTCCCTCTGCGGCTGGCTGGTTTAACGACTCGTCCCTGAGCCCTGCCAAGCCCTGTCCCCGACCCAGTGCCAACCTACCCCAGCCGGCCCCGAGGAGGCAGGACAGATGGGGCCGCGTGAAACCAGAGCCGGCGGCCGGGACCCCTCGTCCGGGGAGGGGCTTCGATCTGTGTCGTGACTAACGAGCGGGGACTCGCGTTACAGCAACTTAAAAATAATGCGACAGACGTGCCCCCCGCGAGCGCGTAGCACTTGTCAATGGCCCCGCTGGCCGTGACGTCTCCCGGCACGTGACTTATCGCCGTGCAGAGCGGACCCCGCCCGGCCGCGGACTCCGTCTTTCCGGCCGCGGCTCAGGAAGCGCAGCGAACCTCATCGCGGGCTGTTCGTCGCGGGTCCCGCTGGCCATCGCCCTTTCAGTTTTGCTGTTTGCTTCTGGTTTCACGTCTTTCTAGGAATTCATTTTCCTTCCTGCCCTTCGCGTGTCTCACCTCATCTCCGCTCTGCTGCGGCGCGTGCCCTTGGTCCCCATCACGCTGCTCTCCCGCGGCGTCTGCGTGACTGAGACTCGGTGCTCGGCGCGCTTCGGGCTCATTCTGATTATCTCACCCAACAGGAAGCAGCCATCAGTTGCTGGGTGCAGTTCAGCGACGGCTCCGTCACCCCCCTGGACATTTACGATGGGGAGGCCTTCTCCTTGGTGGCCACGTCCTTGGACGAGAAGGTGGTCTCCATCCACCAAGACCCCAAATTCAAGTGGCCTCTAATCACGGCCGAAGCCGAAGGGCAGGGCGCCCTGGTGAGCGTCGAAATGGTCATCAGCGAACCGTGCCAGAAGTCCAAGCGCAGGAGCGTGCTGGCCGTGGGGACGGCCAGCGTCAAAGTCAGATTCGGCCAGAACGACGCCGGCCCCAACGGCAGTGACAGCAGACACGCGGTCGCCCGCCTGGAAGACAGCGCCAGTGACGAGAGGCCCCACAAGCCCTTGCAGGGGGCGGGGCCCGGAGAGGGGCAGGTCCCCGGCAGTCCGTCTGTGGGCCTGGCGGAGGGACGAGGGTCCATGACGGAGAGGCCACCCATCCGCAGCAGCGGCGGCCAGGAGAGCCTCTCGGATGACGACAGCCACCCGCAGATGGTCGCCCCGGGCTTCACCAGCTTCCCTGCCCAGGTGGGTGGCCCCGGGAGCGACGGGGGCACGGGGGACAGTGGCCCCGCACCGGCCTCCAAAGGCCTGAGCGACCTGGAGATCGGCATGTACGCCCTGCTGGGCGTCTTCTGCCTGGCCATCCTCGTCTTCCTGGTCAACTGCGTGGCCTTCGCCCTCAGGTACCGGCACAAGCGAGTGCTCTTCGAGCGGCAGGGGTCCCCGAGCCCCCCGCGCGGCTGGCTGGGGCTGGGCCCCCGGGCACAGCTGCTGGACAGCCACTTGAACTTTGCCTGCCCCCCCGACGAGCAGGTCACCGCCATTGGCAGGGCCGTGGACCTCGAGGACAGCGGGTACCTCTTCGGCACCGGCTCCCCGAAAGGCATCAGCGGCAACGGGCAGCTGCCGCGACCTGCGGGGCCCCCGAGCGCCGAGGGCCGGGGTCAGAAGGGTGAGCCGCCCACGTCCCCCACCTCGAAAAGGAAAAGAGTGACGTTCACCACCTTCACCGCCGTCTCATCGGATGGCAGGCAGCC